TACGAGTCCTCGTCAATGGACGCGGGATAGTCGCGGGTGTGCGCCGCCGGGTCGTTGTAAATGAGGTTGTACACGAGGAGGACGCGATCGCCCTCTATGATGTCAGCCGCGATGACGTGCGCGTGGCGGTAGCACGCTGCGTACGAGTATCGAGGTGCTCCTGAGCCTCGAGGCAGGAAACACTTGTGAAGGTCATGGCCGCGTCGAAAAGCGACCTCGCCGCCACGTGCGTGACGTGGCAGCGCCACGTACAAGGTGCCAAACGAGCCAAGTGGGCGGTGCGCGACCTCAAACGTGGACGTGTCGCCAACAGCGTCGAACGCGACGTGGGCGAGCGCCGCGTGGAACGGTCCTTCGGGTGCCAGCGCCGTCTCGATGCGCCTATGATTGCCGCTTCATCCTCGGACGTGAAGTCGCGCGTCAAGCAACTGGCCTTTGGGAACTCGAGCAGGCGCATGACCTCCCGGTACCTCGCATCCATGGCGTTGTCTGCCATCGTCCCAATGAGCCAGCAGCAACGTTCAATATGTTTTGAGCATTGAAAATAACATATCTGTTTCCAGCACCGTTTCTGATCATGGTTTCTGATGCTCTACCAAGGCTGCGGACCTAACCGTTATAACGCAATAACGTTATGTTACTAACCTGTTACGAACACTGTTAGGTTAATGCTTCAAAATCCAATAACGTAACAGGCCATAACGCATCGCTAGCATGCAGCGTGAGGCAGCATGCTCAGCCCATACGTGCTCTCAGGAACACTCTCTGCGTCATAAGCACATTAACATCGCAGTCATATACGTGCATATGCATTACAAAATGCCTAGAACAAAGCCGGAAGCACGATGCCATTGCCAAAAAGTGCTGCCAGTGTGACCTTGGTCGAGGGTCCGCAGAAAGGGCGTATTGCGGGTACGACGCAACGTTGTTGTCCGGGAGCGGTGGCAAGGGGCTTGCAGGAAGATTCAGAGGCGCCAAAGATGGGCGGGGCCCAAGGGTAACGAGCTCAGCGAGGTCGGCTACGGCATGAGTAGATAGATGGTAACGCCGAGTCGTCCGGTCTCAGCAGCTCGAGGATCTCGGACCAGAACTCAATGGCGTCGGCGCCTTGCTCAATCACTGGGTCCTCGGCCTCGCGCGGCGGCGATGTGACGGCACTCGTCGACGTGCTTGGCCATCTTCGCCGGACGGGAATCAAACGCGGCAGGCTCTGAAACGGCGCCGTACCCATCCAAGCCCATGTTCTGATAGGCTTCAACACAGGCCTTGCACCGGATCTGCCACCACTGATGGTTGCGCGGCAAGTCGTGCTGCTTCTCGAAGAACTGCCATTTATCGTTCACGCGCTTGGTCATGACGCAGGCACCACCGGTGTACGAGCGGGCTTGAGATGTGGCCAATCAGAGCGATGTTATACGTCTCGGCCAATCAGAACAGTGCATGGACTATCTTAGTCCATGTGTTAGACAATTGGTACTAACGGTTACTAACATGGTTAGTAACCGTTGTGATGATGTTACGAAAAATCCTATAACCGTTATTTCGACAGGCAAGGCTGTCGAAATACTGCAATATTGTCGTTGGATCGTATAAAACAGTTTCGTGTAACATACATGCTGTTTTTCACTTTCAAAATGGCATGTGCCACAATTGACTTGCGCGGCCACGACATGTTGTTGTGCTTGCAGATTGTATTACCAGGTAGGATCGCGAATCGAATGCAGACATCGGTGTCATACAGCTTGTCCATTCGGCATCTGCCACATTTGAGTACAGGATACAGTGTCTTGAAACGCAATAATGCGAGCGCAGTCGTGTACGTCGCTTCAAACACATTTTACGGAGTGCCTGCATATCGGTCTATCATCGACTCGAGTACTTTTTATCAAGAGTAGTCGATGCAATTAGCTCGCACTCGGCGAGTGGGGTCCACCACGGGATGGATCTCTGAGCTCACTCCCAACGACCAAGTGCTGGTGCCAACTCCCACGCACTCAGGCGTAGCACTACGTGTGCGAACTCTTTGTAAGGAAGATAACACAGAACATAATTAGCTCGCAAGAATCGGTGGCGACGCCGGAACACACCGTCGTTTGGCACCCTCGTTGCCTTGGACTGCGGGACGCTTGGGACGAGTTCCGCGCTGCTTCGGCGCTTGCATCAATGCTTTAAGGCGTTCGAGACGCATGGAGGCCGTCTGGAACTTGCTTTGCATGAGCGTGAAAGCATCACGCCGACGCGTGAGTGTCATGGTCGTCATGGGTTTTTTCATCTTGAACATCGTTTCGGGCTCGTCGTCGTCGCCAAAGAACGCGTCCACGGCGTCACAGCGCGGCCCGTAAACCTCTTCCTCGACGCCGTACTTGGTGCTTAAAAAATCGTTGATCTGGCGCGCAAGGATGCAGTCGCAGGGCACGAGCTCTTGGTTGGCGTCGCGGACGTTGCACGAAGGGAAGCTCCTCGTTTGGAACTCGTTTTGCAGCACCGGAATCGCCGCTGTCGCGACGGCCACCCACGCCTCCGTGGGCCAAAACGCATGGCGCGTGAGGCAGTAGAAGGCGACGTCGCCAAACAACGCTGGCTTCGGCGCCAGAACGTTCGACACCCACGCTTGGACGTACGACAGCGTCTTGGTCGCGTCCACCATCGTCACCACCTCCAAGAGATCGACGATCCAGCGCCAATGGACGTGCTTGGACCCGTCGGGCGGAGGCACTTGCGGGTGTGGATGCTTCTTGTAAAAGACATCGAGGTGCTTGGCCTGCGTGCGGAGGATACCGTCGTTCTCGGGCGGTGGCATGCGTTGCAAGAGCATTGCTTGGACGTCGGGATCCAGCGCCGTGTGGCGCAAAGCATGGCAGATGGCAGGAACGAGGAGGCTACCAAAGATCGTCTCGCAGCGCTCGAGAAGAGATGGCACCAAGCGGCCATGGCGAGAGGCGATGACAAGCATGTCGGCTGCTACCTTGATGGCACTTCGTGTCATCCACACGTCGTCGACAAGAGTGTGGACGCCGTCGAGAGTGTCGTCCAAGAGCTGCAAGACGGCCGTCGCAAGGGCGGGCGCGCAAAGGGTAGGGTTGGCGTCAAGACTGCGCGCCAGTGCGTGCGTGACGACGTTGAGCAGCGAGCACTTGTCTGGGTCGTCGAGCACGATCGCTGTCATGGACGTGGCCGGGTTGAGAGCTGCATCAATCGCAGCTAGCGCGAATGGCGGGAGACGCGCCTGAAGCCAATGGGCAGTGGGCCGCTCGGACATCGACGCCACGTAGCCTTCGACGGCCAGGCACGCGCCAAGGACCTTGATCAATTCCGCAGCTTCGACCACGTAGTAGAGATCTTCGACGTTGAGCTGCGCCGTCCGCCAGAGCGCTTTGATGAGCTCGGGAACATATGGCTGTCGCAGCGATGGACACAGTGGGTCGGGGCCGTCAACACCCGCCAGCGCTGCGATCAAGCGGATCGCGGGTGCCATGGTTGCCCGCTCGTTCGCCCAACGATCTACCAGCTGCTCGAGCCCAGGAGCGAGCACCTCCCAGCCGTACGTAGAGCAGGCGCGGTGGATCCATATCGCAATCGCGGACGCTTTGGTGCCAAAGTAGTCAAGATCGAGCGACGTTGCCATGTAGGTGGCCATCAGAGCCGGGTCCTCGATGACGTCCAAGAGTCGCGCGGTGCGAGCGAAGAACTCGGTTGCTGATGCATTCGCAGTTGCTTGGATGCGCTGGTGAACCGAGGCCTCCGAGAGATCGGGCGCGGCCAGCAGAGGCAAGACACTGCGCACAAGCGAGTGTAGACTGTCGACGCCGACGAGATGATCGATATACGGCGGGCCACGGGAGACGGCGTCCTCGAGGCAGAGCAGTGCGCCATGGGGTCCCGCGGCTTCGAGCCGTCGCCGCTTGGGCCAAAAGACGACGACACCGACGAGATCGTTGCCGTCTGCCTTGTGGTCGACGTCGCGGGCGGTCGAGACATAGTCGTGGAAAAACGCTCCCGCGAGACCGTCTTTGAGAAAGTGTAGATCGCCCGTCGATGGATGCAGCTGGATGCTGCAGAGGATGTGGCTCGACTCGGGCGCGGACGCCATGATGTAGCCAGCCATATTGATGCCCTCGCCAAACGACAGCTTCGGGCGCACGCAGGCGAGCGCCACGTCATAGTCGCCGGAGAGAACCAAGGCGTTGACAAGGTCTCTCTCATGGCCCGAGAGCGCATCAAACGAGAGCGATGGACTCGTCCGTACCGGGTAGGCCAGTCGACTGTCGTTGGGCTCGTGGTCTTTGGCTGCGAGCGTGGACAGGCGCGTCGCAGCGGCGTC